ATTGTATTCTTTATTTAGATGCAATTTACATTTTGAAATAGAAAAAGTTGTTATCAAGACACTTGGTTTTCTGTTCAGTTTTTTTATCATCCTTTCAGTTTGTATAATCATAATTAGTGTCATAGCCCGGGTGATTATTCGGAGACTGCTTAGAAGATTGGTATGTAATTAAGAAAGAAATAATATATCATTCTGATATTTTTCTATAGAAATGAAGCACTATTTTGCACACAACCATAGGAATTGAGAGAGGAATCTTTTCTGAAATTTCAGTTTAATTTACTTAATAGAAAGATTCTAGGAATGAATAATGCCCCTAAAATTAATCCTTAAATTTAGGAGAAGTGGTTTCCACAGTACAAATTTTGTTTGTAGTTAATTCTTCTTTTAATTTTTTTTTTCTCTTTTTTCTTATACATAAAATGATCCCTTTTTGTTGTTTAATTTTAGACGGAAAAAATAAGTTTTATATAGCTGCTACATGTCTTTGGTGACAACTCATTTAAGTAGGTAAAGGGAGATTTTAGAGGTTTTTAGGTGTTAGTATTTTACTATTTGCACTAGAATATTAGCGTGGCCTACAAGTAGTGAACCCTAGTGGACGATATGTGCATGCGTGATGGAAGAATTAGACAAACAAAATGGATCCCATCAGATCTTATCATTTTGGAAATTTTGCGGAGGTGGAACTGTGGATAGATAGAACAAGTCAAAACTCATGTCATCATTTCGGCTTCTTATTCAAACTCGAAAGGGGCGAACATTTTCAGGGTAATATCGCCAATACACTATCAAATAAACCCGTCGACTTAAAATACGATATAATATAGTGCTTTCATGTCACAAAATATATTGATCTAATACGTAAGAAATTTACATCATTGGCTGTTTTGCAATATATAAACCTTGCTCCTAGGGCGACGGAAGCCACCACATTACCAATTCAGGGACCCGATTTTTGCAGTCCGATAATGAATAATGGAGACTTCATTTCTCCATTGAAAACTAGTAATTACCTCAAAATTATTAATTACATTTCAATAATGATATAGAAATAGTGGGTTTGGAATGTTAAAATGACAACGCGAATGACGAAATTTAAATGCAAAAAAAAAGATAAATACCTCTATTCTCCACGGGAAGCTTTCTGTGTGCATTTTGCATGGAAACCAATCATTCTTATGTGTATTATTCACCTTTTAGACGTCATTGAGTTGGCAATAACTCATCTAGAAAACTTCTTTTGGACATGATCAATATGAGCTATGCTTAATAGTTATAACTCAATGTATTTATTGTAATCAGCCCCACTTTCATTACTTAAAACAATAGAACATATGTCGCATGCAACTTCGAAGGACAAAGGTATACGTTAGGCAATTAACCTAGTGAATCTACCAAGTTGAAACTCCAATTCTCTAGAGTTCTTTGGCGAACTCATCCAATGATTACTTATATATATGTACCGTTAATGTTTTTTTTTTTTTAAGGATTTTATCATTTTCATTTTTTAACAAAGAAAGAAACAAATGCTCATCTCGCCTCATTTTAAATGGTATTTGATTCAAAACTCTCCAAACATTTTCATTTGAAATCTTATCATCAGACTATGATTACATTCATCCTCGAATAAGAAAAAAATCATGAAAATTTATCATTAATTAGATTCCAAAATGATCCACTTGTCAAAAAAAAAAAAATGAATTGTACACCTCAATCTCAGTGCAGGGTACTGTTAATGTCTTTTCTTCGACAGTATTTTCGCTGTAAACAATTAATGTACTAGCGGGCGATTGTTAAAAGGCCAAAAATTTCAATTGGGGCATTCTTCAACTTTGATTTCTTCTAATTAGCCTTATCACCATATGATTTTTGGAGATGAAGAAAAATACTAAATGCTAGTTTTAACATAAGACATCTATTTAGGTTCGAGCCTAAAGTATATCGATCGTCCTTGACATCATTATTATTATCAAATCAAATGATTAAGATTGCATTTCTCAAATTCTAAGACCTATGATTTGATCTTTTGGCAGAATCCAATACAAAAAGATACCTACAAATAATTAACCTCGTTATAAGTTTATTTATGTGCTGAAATTCAAATTGTAATCCCCACTAGCTTCTCCAAATTAATAATCGATTTTTCCGCAAGAAATAGCAATGATAAGCTTCAACTAGCTGCAGCACGTCTCCGCTCAAGAGCCTTTTGATATCCGAACCCTATACAGCAATTGAACCCAAAGGCCCCTACCCTTAATTCCTCCTCAAGAAACTTTTCCCGTAAATAAATGACATGATTAGTGGTACGTCAACTTGGCCCCCTCATCTTGTTTTCTTACGATTCCTTATTTGATCGCCAATAATTTTTCATGTTCAATTATGTTTATGTGTTAAACAATTTTGTCACATCGCGTGGGTGATGTTAAATTGTAGCAGTGAGTTGAAACTTTAAACTTAAAGCATGCATATAAGATATATATGGCTTGGCAATATCATTCAACAAATATATCAATGGAAATACAACCCATGATTTGATAGGGACTATCTAAACCAAAGTTTAAGAATTCAATTGAAGTTTTTTTCCGAAAGATTAGGGACTAAAAAGAAAGGTTCGGGACTCTCATTTGAAGTGTCACTAGTCAGTAGACTCAGTACCCAAAACTTTCTAGTGATGTCGAGTCCTTCCTGTCTAAAATGTCGGAACATAGAGGACTCAAATGCGACTCATCTACCAATTGGAAAACATGATGACATCAATTTGAAAGATGTGGAAACTTGAGGGGGTCGGTCGATGTTGAAGTTGACGGTAACATGCAATTTGTTGTGTTATTCATCAACAGTTTCAAATCAGGAAGCTTTTCCTGATTCATTTGATGTTAATGATGGAGTTCTCCCAACTTGATCCACTTGCTCCATCTCAATCATCAATACCTGTAAGTTGTAAACCTAATTACGTAGTACAAGTTTTCTTTCTTCTTGAGAGCAAAAAGGTACAAGTAATCTCTAAGGTAACTGTATTGTACTCCATGTTTCATACTTACGCGAGCAAAATTAATTGCGAGGAAGCAATTACGTACTAATCTATTATATATGGTCGAATTCTTCCAAGTTAGCAAAGTTATATGTGCAAGTGCAACAAAATTAAGACTTCAATTTCTCATAAATGAGCTTTGACAAAATGGAGCACCTTGTCTTGTCCATGTATAACATTGATTTTTTTTTCTTTAATAAAACAAAACAATTTTTTAGAAAAAAAAATAGCAGGGAATATACTTAACCCTATAGTAATACAATAATAAACTTATGCAAATTTTGTATCCTTATTTAACCTAGAGGAGCGCCTAACTTGAACATTACCTTACTTTTTTTCTCGCGATGATGGTGTGGCATAGCAGAAACTTCACTATAGAAAGACTTCGGTTCCATTTCTAGTTCCATATCAAATTCCACATCTTCTTATCCATAAAAAACTTAATTTTGTGTACGTGAGCATAATTAGGAGGCAGTCTACCAGTTCCTTATTAGCTCTTATTAATGTTAGATAATCCGTAACAAAGTTTGCAAGTTTGATGAACATAGTTTCAACTATTCATTTCCTGTGGAGAACAAAATGTACATTTATTAACGGTCTTCTTGTCCTAATACCATAATCATAATACTTAAGTTAGCCTTTTCCGCGCCTCCACCTTAGCTAGCTAGCTACCCCTCATTTTCCAAGCTGAAATCCTATCCAACAAAACCCTGTATTCAGCATAAAACTCCATATCCAACAGCCAAACACAATTACGAATCTCTCACGACACCGGCGTACACCTGCCATTTCCCGTTTCACAATTGAAAGCCTTTCTCATCAGTTCTTTTTTTATCTAACGTTTGGAAGCGGGATCAAGCTGATCATTAGATTGAAAGCATGCGTGTTACTGCTAACATTCATGCAGTAGTAGGTTTGTTTCGAATATTCAAAACTTGTGCAAAGTTAATCATTAGATTAAATTTTATGGATTAATAGCTGATCCTATGTCGTACAAGATCTTCTCTTCAACTATTACCTCACTAATTAAGCGTAAACTATATTATCTTGAATTGTAGTAAACAATGTGCATGAAGATTAATATTATATCACTAAGGAACACATTTGACAGCGACTGATTTATAACCTACTTATGGACGTTATCGTAACCTCGGTCCCCACGCACTCTGGGTTCGTGTGTACGGGAAAGGCTAATCATGATCCTAAACCTAGATCGTTCAGTACGCTTTGATTTTCTTTCATGTGATATTACAATCAATTTTTCCTTCTGAAAGCAAGATCAATTTATGGTCTTCACCTATTTACTAATTGGAAATCAAGTAATTAAGATCGTAGTGACTTTGTGTAGTGATTTGATTTGCTAATTTTTTACTAATGATCATCTCTTAAAAAAATCAATATACACATTAATTACTAAACCAGAATCACTATAATTTTATACTTTCTTTATCGTACACCTTATTAAATTGTTTTAATAATTGAATAAAATAGACTGCTAAATTAAATCGATAGAGAAGAAGTAACTAATTGAAATTAAATCTTGGAGGGACTCTCTATTCTCTAACTCTAGGGATGTTCGGGACGATTAACTTGATTCACTAAATATATCTAAAGTTATTCCCATATTGTATTTCATCTATAAAGATTTTGTAAATATAGTAGATTCTATTCTTCTATTTTTTTTTTTGAAAAAGTTAATAATAATTTTTACGCGCTGTTGATACTGATCCAAAAACAGAAACTAACATGGAATATAAAATATTCCTGACAAGATCACTATTTATTTACATCTTTGCCCAAAAAAAAATGGTTTCAAGGTTTAAGGGGCAGCTAGCTGAAGTCCACGGTTGAAAAGACACGTACGTATGCAAAATAATCATGCATGGGGCACTCAGAAAACCTGACGGGAAAAAAAAAAGAAAAAAAGAAAAGAAAGAAAGAAAGAAAAAGGGACCGTAGCGTATAAATTGGAATTCCGCTCCAAACTTGACCTTCTGCACTCCATCAAAGGAGGCTCTTCCCTGAGAACGGAGCGTTGTAAGTTGGTTTTTGAAGCGCTGATATCAATCTCACCAGCATTAGTCCTTCATTTTTCCCCATTTTTATAAACCTCAATCATTGTTGTACCTCCGTCCTTCCACCGACCCCTCTCCTTCGCCCTTTATATAACTTCCCATATTCCCTTTCTTAGATACTCAGGTCACTGACAGTCGTACAAACCTTATAGCTTCCGGCCAGCCGGAGTTCATACCGATATCAGGTGATGAACTAAATGTTTCATTGATCTAGCTTATCCTTCTTTTTCCTATATAATCTGAATGCATGATGAACTCTCACCCATAAAATGTAGATCGTCACTGGAAAAAAAAAAACCCTACAAAATGCAGGTCATGGTTGCGAATTCGGTGTCATTGAATATTCCTTTTCTTTTTTTGGCAGACCATCAAAGTTGATGTATATGGATACTTCTGTGAGTTCTTGGTTCTCTGAACTGGTAAGCATTTTGCTCCCTTGGTCGCAATTATCGTTTTTTTTTTTGTTTCCCCCTTGACTTGCTTCCATGTAACGATGAACCAACTCAATTGAATCACATGATTACACTATAGTTGAAAAACGTAGATACTGTATAGCGACTATTCGATCTTGAAAAAGGGAAAAGTGTTTTGATTATTTAAATACATACGCAACCATGTACATATTTGTTATCTTTTTCTTCCGTCCCAGAAAAGTTTGTCATCTCTCTTCTTCCGTCCCAGAAAAATAATACTCCTTGTTAAGTAACGACTGACTATTCAACAAAATGAACTATTTTTTTTTTTTTTTTGAAAGGAAGGAAAGAGCCTTAGATCGGGAATATTTTTAAGTTTGGTTCGCACTTTTGTTAACTTGAAGCTTGCATGAGGTCTTATGGGTTGTGATTATTAGATTGATCGCGTCTTCCAAAAATATATCTTTTTTTCTTCCAAACATTACCAATGGTTAAAATCTAAACTTCGTAATATTTCTTTAATCCCGCATGAGAAGATGTTGTTTTCTAACATATTGCCCATAATCTCGATTCACTTTCAACACGTCAATCCAAGTAAATGAGCAAGGGTTGGGGTTCTCACCTTGCAAAAGTTCAAATATTCAACTAAAACAGATTGCCCTCAAGTTTATATATATATAACATGATATATAAATGGAATTCTTGTGTCTTGAAAACAATGTAGTCATGATTACTTGCTTCAGATTGTGATAAATGGGGCCTCATTCTATTGGTCAATGAACAAAGTTATACAAACCATTCTTGATCACTCACTACACATTGCATTAAAGTCTTGTTATAATTGAAAATGTAGTTTAGATGACTCTAAAGTGTGCCCTTTGCATGATCAATTAAGCTAGTAAAAAAAGTGCCGTTAGTTTATTGAAAGTTTATGATTCCTTAACAATTTTACAGGGAATGGAGGACCCCTTTCTGAATGATCAATATGATATCATGGATTTTCTTGATGATGAATTATCTGCTACACTTGGAGAAGATTTCCAAGGCTGTCTGTCTCCAGAAGGATTAAATGCACTTCAATCCCCAACCTTAATTCCAACAAGTAGTTCCACAACCAGTTTATCTGTACTTTCAGCCATGGAGGCACCTCCAATTACCATTGAAAGACCAGCCAAAAAACAAAGGTCCAACGTTAATGGCAACTCCAACCTTCAAAACATGACCAATTTCAATCCACCTTCCTCTTCCCCGATGATCCTCACATTTGGTAATCCGGTGTTGCCCGAAATGAATCCTCAACAACAAGCAACAACATTAGGGAACCTGAGCCCTGATCATGATGATGCAGTTTCCGAGGTATTAACATCACCAGGTCCATTCCCAAATCTTGAGGATGCCACCAAAAAAAGTGGCAAGAAACCAGCCAAAAAATCAGGTGGTCGTGTTAGGCCACCATCACAAACCTATGATCACATTATAGCTGAAAGAAAACGACGCGAGCAGCTCAGCCAAAGATTCGTGGCGCTTTCAGCCATCGTTCCCGGCCTAAAGAAGGTACACATTTTTAGTTTCTAAAAAAAATGAGAAGTCTTTTTTTTTTTTTTCCTGTTTTTACAATTGTCAATTATTTTTAAAAGTTTTGATTGGAACAGCGATTTTTTTTTTTTGTAATGTCGTGGCGCATGATAAACGAGGGGTATTAAATTAATAACCAAAATGTAATGCATTTCCCGAATTCCCTGTACCCTCTGAACAAAAAAAAAAAGCTGATCTCCATTACTATAAAGTAAGCTATAACTCTGAACAACTTCCTTCATCCCAATTCCCAAATCGAAAAATATCGATTAGCCCTGCTTTTTCCTCTGTTTTTTCTTTTTTTTTTACCAAAAGAGTAACCCTGTTTTTTCTGGCTCTGTTTTTTCCCCTGTTTCAGATGGATAAGACATCAGTTCTTGGAGATGCAATCAACTACTTGAAATATCTGCAAGAAAGGGTGAAGACATTGGAGGAACAAGCCAAGAAACAAACAATGGAATCAGTTGTGGTGGTGAAACGATCACATGTGTTGATCGAAGACGAAGGTTCATCCGATGAGATGAACGGTCCCGATGAACAACAACCACAACAAGAACAACAACAATCCCTCCCTGAAATCGAAGCGAAACTGTGTAATAAGAACATTCTTCTGAGAATCCATTGTGAAAATCACAAAGGGGTTCTGGTCAAACTCCTTGCTGAGGTTGAAAAGCTCAATCTCTCTGTTCTCAGCACCAGCGTTTCTCCCTTCGGCAGTTTCGCCCTGGACATCACCATTATAGCTCTGGTGAGTTATAATTTTGAAATTCACTAATCTTTTCAATTGAACTTTACGGTACTCTTTGTGTCCCAAAATTAGTTTTATTTATTTATCCAACGTTTCAAGTCCTGTTTCAGTTCAATAAACACGACTCTTTTCGCAGATGGAAGCAGACTTCAGCCTGACAATGCAAGAACTGATTAAGAACCTTCGATCGGCTCTCCGGAAAGTCGGGCCGGCAGCTTGATTGAGCATTCAACATAGGATAGGCTGTATCCTCAAGGAAACATGAAAAAAAAAATTGTACATATAAAATAAAACCTGCATTGTCAAATTTGGAGCATCGGGATAGAATTAAAAAATGCGAGCTACTGTTGAGATGATTTCAGTTATTAATTTTTAGCAATTTGTTTAGTAACATTAAGGTTGTAAGAATTCGAGAACAGTGACCCTCGAGGGCCTCGTGCGCTCTTAGGTTTTTGTATTCAGTATGCAACTTAGTATTTGTGTGATTATAATATAAATCTCATCATATCCTGCCAAGGAGCATTCAGTTTTAGTGTCTATTCTTCTGTCTAGGACCCTCTGGTTTACAAATAGAACGTATTTTTTTTTCCTTTTAGTTCAAGCGTTTATTAATCTTTCCCTTTATTTCATTCATCTATAGTATTATACTAAGAGAGAAACCAGAGAGACAAAACAAAAAGGAATTCTAAAGGTGCCACAAAATCCTATGTGTCATTTTTCTATTGGTTGAGTCAAAAAATATTTACAACAATTATACTAATAGTCCTTCAAATTTTATGTAAATAAAATTTTATCAAATGACCTTTAAAACTATAGTTTAAAATAGGAAAATAAAAATTAATTAAATTTAATGGACGGGATTAATGAACATTAATGAACCAGAATTATTCCCTCCCAAAAATAATCCCTCCAAAAAATAATCTCCAATTAGTTTTAATTGATTGATTTAAATTATAAGTTCAAAGTGATAAGGCATTTGTTATTTTCAACATTAATTCACCGGGATTTTTTACCCCAGCCAATTCGAATAAAAAAGAAAATCCCTCTACAAAATAATCCCTAAAATCACTACTTGATTGATTTAAAACCTAAGTTCAACGTGCGGGAAAGTGAGAATTCTTTAGTGATTAAAAACTAATCAAATTTAATTGAAAAAAACTAATCAACATTAATGCAATGGAAGTCATTTCCCCACCAATCTTATCCCTTAATCAACGTCACGTTATCATCTTTATTCCATAGTTATGAATTTTACTTTAGTTACTGGTTATGATATCTCATTCAGACATTCACTATAAATATCCACTTCGGTCTAACTCTAACATGTACAATGACAACCGGTGAAACATTCAAGCGAAGCATCTTATATACTTTACAAAATATCTTTGTGGCGACGACCTCACTCCGATCATGTTTTATTTAACATGTAAGGCGTCTCTTTCTCCAATTGTGTACAATCTTGATTAACATGCGTTTTTAACCGTGTAGACATAAATTGCTTTGATTTATATGACATGTAACATCTGATTTATTATTTTAGTGGTCTTTTTTACTTTTATTTGTATATAATCCTTACACATATTCCATTATTTAATTACATTTTTGGCATACAATTTATAAAATGTTGTCATTTCAAAGTATATATAACAATTTTATTTATCACGATCTAATTTAATTTTAATCATATATTTATTATTACAAACCAGTTACTTTATTTGTATTAATCACATTTAAAATTTAAAAATATATTTTAATAGATATATATGTATAAACCCCGCACATTGTGCGGGTTTAACATCTAGTATATGCATATGGCTACAATCATCCACCTCACAGAAAATAATATTGTAAAAGTATTCTTTTCTTCTTATTTTTCCAGAGTATTTTTGGGCTCATATAGAGTACTGCTGGTCATTGCTCTTCCACTTTGACTTAGCATTTGGTTAACTTACCATTTAGTAAGAGTATCCTTTCAATATTTTTGGTCGCATATTACCCATTTCGATTTATAATATTCCATCTTCACTTACCTTTGATTTACTTAATGTGTACTACCCCGTCCAAAAGAAATCACATAAAATTTTGAGTTTATAGTACAGATCTCAATATTCTCTGATTGAGGTGACAATATCCTATCAGTTTTCTATCAATCGATAGAATACTGATAGGATATTGTCACCTCAATCAGTATATCCTATCAATATACTGATGTAACTTGGTTGAGATTGGTGAGTTAAAATTATAAATTAGAATTGCTTAGAACAAACAAAAAACGTTAGTACTTTAAAATACCCGTGCGAAAGCACGGGTCCAGAACCTAGTATCTATAATATCTTAAGATTTGAAATTAATAATAGAAACTAACTAAATACTACATCCATTTTTTATGTCACTTTAGAATAAATTCGGTATGTTTTTTATCGTACTTCATTTCTAATCTAGCTTTAAATACGCCTTTTCCAATCACATCCATGTCTCTCTACTTTTAATAACTTATATTTGTAACAATTGCCACTTTTTTCTTCAATTTTGAAATTTTGTATAGTCCCAATATCTTTAATAGGGGGCACGAAAGGTATTATATAAAATTAAATTTTCAATCATTGTTTTCTTAATACATGCACATACTCTATGTGACACACACACACACACACACACACACACACACACACACACACACACACACACATATATATATATATATATAAAGAGATGAAGGTACGACACTAAACAATAATCCCTTAAAAATCATACCAAACAATTGATTTTCAGTTTCGTCGAGTTCCTCGTCGATTTTGATAAGTAGACGACAAGGTCGACACCTTCGATTTCAACAGAAAAATAGATCGGGACTTTTCATTGATACTGATAAATAAACAAATATTTCAAAGAACAGAACTTTGGAAGCAAGAGCCGATGAGGATGTATCCGGCACAAGGGATGATGATTGAGGAGGATCGGGACTCATCAAAGGATGGAGGTGATGGAGACAAATTAGGAACCACAGGAGGAAAAGGATCAGCTGCAGAGTGAGTAAGATCAACCATGACTGGGGATGGATCATAAACAAGTTGAGAAGGGCCCGAAGTAGATGGAAAAATATTTTCAAAGAAAATAAAATCTCGAGAAGTATATATCTCCTTACGATCAAAATCATAAACCCGATACCCCTTTTGACCATGTGGATAACCGAAAAAAAATACCCGGACGACCTCTAGATGCAAATTTATCCTTAGGTTTGGCAGAAACATGAGCATAACACAAACACCCAAAACTACGCAAATGATCATAGGAAGGCGAATGGCCGTATAAGAGCTCATAAGGAGTATTATTTTGTAAGCAGTAGTAAGAATACATTCACCCCAAAACCCAACAGATAGATTTGCTTGAAAATGCAAAAGCACTAGCTACTTCTAAGAGATGTCGATGCTTGCGTTCAACAACACCATTTTGTTGAGGAGTGTGCAGACAACTTGTTTGTTTTTCAATGCCATGATCCAGAAAATGGGTTAACAAAGAGGAATGATTGAATTCAAGACCATTATAAGTGCGAAAAGTCTTAATTTTAGCATTGAAATGTGTATGCACCCAGTTGAAAAATAAAAGCAAGTAACGCTTAGTTTCATATTTGGAACGCATAAGAAAAACCCAAGTAGCTCTACTATGATCATCAACAACAGTAACAAAATAATTTGCACCAGACTTAGACGGAGTGGGATAAGGTCCCCAAATATCACAATGCACTAAAGCAAAATTATTCATACTAAGAGTTTGATGCAAAGGAAACGGTAAATGAGTCTGCTTAGCTCGACAGCATGCATTACAAACAGATGTGCAAGGATTATTATTAAAAGAAATAGAAATACAAGGAATCAAAGAAAGACGGGTAACCGGAAGATGACCCAAACGACGATGCCACAAGGTTGTTGTATCGCCGTTGCGAGTTGAAAGGATCCGGCGTTTACCACCTAACTTCATTGGCTCTAGATAGAATAATCCCACTACTAGAAACATAGCTCGTAGAGACACTAAAAAATATCTTAACACATTACCTTATAATACACTTAGATTTATTATGGCACTTGAAAGAAGTGTCTTTAAATTCAATGTGATAATAGATTATGTGTCATAAAAGATATACTATAAAGACACATACAATTGTAGTGTAACACACCATTTAAGGTCATTTAAGTGTCTTATAAAATAATATTTAAAGACGCTAAAACATGTGATCAAAACTCACGTAATACTAAATTATTTATTATATAATTTAAAATGCGCTGAGACATATATAGTGCCTCAAAAACACATCTATTGTGACAATCCTAAGAATTTTCTAGTGTCTAATTTAGTTTCTTTTTTTTTTAATAGCTCAATCCATACAATGTTTGGCCTCTATTTGTTTAGAATATTCAACAATTAGACCCTCAATAAATTAATGGACAACAAAAACAACGATAATCGAACACATATATTTAATGGACATGTAAGATTGTACCAAGATGAAGCTGCAAAAGATTTAAAAAAAAAGAACACTATAAAATATGATGAATTGAAACTTAATGGTAAATAATTCCACCTAACTACTTCTCTAAATTACATTACATTGAATAAAAGTCATTGATACTCTATCTAACTCTCTAAGACGACTAATAAACAGTAGTGTTCGGTTGCATCAACAGATTAATACTAGCGTCCCTTCAGTTCTTGGTGAAATCACAACGGAAATGCATGGCCAATAGCATCAATATTGGTTTAACCTGCATAAGGGAGTGTAAATTCATCATATGAATCGAAACAGTGTTAGGATCATATTTCACGGTCACGTTGAGAGCACAACACAATATCCAATTCCCTAAACTACCCAGTTTCCATTTAGGAACTTAATTTAACAAATAGTCATAGAAGTTGCCTGTGGATTGCCTTGCTACGTACCTCCATCCACCTTCTATGGTGCGATGACGCTAAGGAATCCATTCCCAGACTTAGCAACTTCTCTTAACCTTGCAAAATACACACCCAAAATACACCAAACCCAACAACCATATAAAAAAATATACAAGACAATTGTATAGTTTCACCCAAGATAAAATCACATATTCAAAGAATTGATTAGCGTTAGATTAGATGAAATTAGCCAAAAGCAAAACTAAAGTGAATGGGAAATCAAGTTCTTTAATTAAAAAAATAACCATAAATAGTGCCCTGACCTTGTTACCAAATCCACAAATACATTCATACGATCCTAGAAATTAATCCAATGCCATTAGAAAATATGAAAACTAATCATGTACTCAAATCCGAATGGGATGTAATTTAAACATGAATACATGATTGGGTCAAATAGTTCACCTGGAGTGGATTGGAGATGGAGAATTCCTTCGAGTGAGAAGCATAGAATCATGACCTCTTGGGAGAGTTAATTTGCAATTTACTTTGTTGCAAATAATTCAAGTATTCTTTGAGTGAGAAGTATATGGAGAGTTTACAATTTGTGGATAATTCCAAAATTCAAGGTGGTAGTAGTAGTGATCGGTTTGGAAACGTGGGTTAGTTACTTGAATTTTTATTTTTT